GGCAGCATGCCAGACATGATGTCACAATGGGCCCTTAACTCACACACCCATCCATACTCACGCACGGAGCCCAATGTCTCACATGCTCACAGCCTAACAGAAATACATGTGCTCACTTAGGGCACAACCCTAAGCTCTAATCCATAGCCATACTGACCCGCACTACTCTATTTGTCGTTTTTTCATCCCTCCTTCTGCCCTTAGAGTCCCATTCATTTTCGCTACCACTCAAACTCTTACTTCTTTGCCCGACAGCCACCGGAATGCATGTACTCACTCAGGGCACATCCCCAAGCTGTAATCCATAGCCATACTGACACGCACTCCTCTGTTTCTGATTTTTTCATCCCTCGTTCCTCCCTTAGAATCCCATTTATTTTCGGCCAAACCATGGTTAGGGTTCATCCCTCATTCCTCCCATAGAATCCCATTCATTTTCTTTCACAACAAAGCCCCAATCTGTCTTTTTCTCAACAGCCACCAAAGTACATGAACTCTTTCAGATCAGGTCTCCAAGCTTTAATCCACATCCACACTGACCCACACTCCTCTGTGAGTACTTTTTTCATCTCTCATTCCTCCTATAGAATTCCATAGTAACTGCGGCGCAACCATTCCACGTCTCCTTTAGGAAATGCACTTTTCTAGTTATTATTATTATTCTTATTTTTCTGCCAGATTTCTGTCCCGTAGATAGTCCTGCAGCTTTCAAGATATCAACTCCGTTCCAACTCCAGATTGTCCGGCCTGATTGTGTGATGCGTGCTTGTGTACAGCTTTTTGATCGGATGCATGGATTCTGTGTAGCAAGGGAATTTTTGCAGAATTTTTTCCCATAGGGAATGAATGGGGTGAACATTTGCACGCCAATCTAAGGTACTTCTGCTTGCCCGATCGACACCGTTTTTCATACACTATCTCAGGGCAGGCCCCCAAGCATGAATCCACTTTTGTTCTGACCCGCACTCATCCGTTTGTCGTTTTATTCCATCATTTGTTTCTCTCATAGACTTACATTGAGCGGACTATTGGCAGCATGCCAGACATGATGTCACAATGGGTTGTTAACTCATACACCCATCCATACTCACGCACGGAGCCCAATGTCTCACATGCTCACAGCCTAATGCTCAGCAGTGTCAGCACACATAATGATTTTTTTAAGGTGGAACTGCTTTTAAGGTGGAATTGCACTTAGCTAGCACAAGAACTAATCCACTGCCATACTGACCCGCACTCCTCTTTGTGTCATTTTTTCATCCCTCATTCCTCTCTTTAAGTCCCATTCATTTTCGCCACCACTCAAACTCTATTTCTTCTTTACCCGACAGCCACCAAAATGCATGTACTCCTTCAAGGCACATCTCCAAGCTCTAATCCATAGCCATACTGACTATGGCTGTGTGGCTGTGGGTAAGAGCTTGGAGCGGTACCCTGAGTAAGTACTTGCATTTCGGTGAGTGTTGGACAAAGAAGTTCCTCTCATTGAGTCCCATTCATTTTCGCCACCACTCAAACTCTATCACTTCTTTGCCCGACAGCCACCGAAATGCATGTACTCATTCAGGGCACATCCCCAAGCGCTAATCCACAGCCATGCTGACCCGCACTACTCTATTTGTCGTTTCTTCATCCCTTGTTCCTCCCATATAGTCCCATTAATTTTCACCACCACTCAAAATCTATTATTTCTTTGCCCGACAGTCTCCAAAATACAAGTACTCATTTAGGGCAGGTCCCCAAGCTCTAATCCACAGCCGTCCTGACCCACACTCCTCTATTTGTCATTTTTTCATCCCTCGTTCCTCCCTTAGAATCCCATTTATTTTAGGCCAAACCATAGCCCTGTTTTTTCCATTGTGCAACAGATACCAAAATGCATGGGCACATTCCCAAGCTCTAATCCACAGCCGCCCTGACCCGCACTCATCTATTTGTCGATTTTTCATCCCTCGTTCCTCCCTTAGAATCCCATTTATTTTCGGCCAAACCATAGCCCTGTTTTTTCCATCGTGCAACAGACACCAAAATGCATGGGCACATTCCCAAGCTCTAATCCACAACCACACTGATCCACACTCATCTATTTGTCATTTTTCATCCCTCGTTTCTCCCATAGAGTCCCATTTATTTTCTTTCGCAACAAAGCCCTAATCAGTCTTTTTCTCAGCAGCAACCAAAGTACATGCATTCACTCAGATCAGGTCTCCAAGCTCTAATCCACCGCCTTATTGACTCACACTCCTCTATGAGTACTTTTTTCATCCCTCATTCTTCCTATAGAATTCCATAGTAACCGCGGCGCAACCATTCCGCATTTCCTTTAGGAAATGCACTTTTCTACTTTTTACAGCTTTTTGATCAGATGAACGCATTCCGTGTAGCAATGGAATTTTGCGGAATTTTTTCCCATAGGGCGGAATGTTGGCAACATGCCACACGTGATGTCACAATGGGCCTCTCTCTCATACACACATACAAACTCACGCACGGAGCACAATGTCTCACGTGCTCACAGCCTAATGCTCAGCAGTATCAGCACACATAATGATTTTTTTAAGGTGGAACTGCTTTTAATGTGGAATTGCACTGAGGCAGCACTGAATTTTAAGGTAGAACTTCTTTTAAGGTAGCACTGAGTTTACACTGACACTGAAATTAAGGTGGAACTGCATTTATGTTAGCACATAGCATTAAATTTAAGGTGGAACTGCTATCAACATATCACTAAATTTAAGGTGGAACCGAATTTAAGGTGGACTTTCAATCAACATAGCACTAAAATTAAGGTGGCACAGAATTTAAGGTGGAACTCTCTCTAAGGTGGCACAGAATTTAAGGTGGAACTTTATATAAGGTGGAGCTGCATTTAGGTTAGCACTAAATTTAAGGTGGCAGTGAAGTTAACACCACATTTAAAGTGGAACTGCTCTGAAGGTTGTATTAAAATTAAGGTGGAACAGAATTCAAGGTGGAACTTTCATTAACCTAGCAACAAAATGAAATGGCACAGAATTTAAGGTGGAATTTCTTTTAAGGTGGTACAGCATTTAAGGTGGAACTTTAATTAGCATAGCACTAAATTTAAGGTGGCACAGAATTTAAGGGGGAACTTCAATCAACATAGCACTAAAATTAAGGTGGTATGGAATTTCAAGTGGAACTCTCCTTTTAGGTAGCACTAAAATTAAGGTGGCACTGAATTTAAGGTGGAAATTTTTTTAAGGTGGCACTAAATTTAATTTGGAACTGCAATTAGCATGGCACTAAATTTAAGGTGGAACTTAGTTTAAGGTAGCCCTAAAATTAATGTGGCACAGAATTTAAGGTGGAACTTTCCATTCATGGTAGCACCTAGCAACGAATTACCATCCACCACGGATACTGCAGCTTCTGCTTAAAAACATTTTGGCAACATTTTAACAACTATCAACAGTCTTCAACGATTTTAACATTTTAACGTACTTAACTGGCTTTTTCAAGCCAACTTAAAGTTCGTTCACGAACTTTCCCTTTCTAGTTCTAATTCTAATTCTAATTCAACCGGTGCTTCGCCTCGCATGCGTCGTAAGAAAGAAATCAATATCTGCACGAACAACCAATAAAACAATAAATACTAGTATCTGGTGTGAACTTACATAAAAACAAAGGAAGCATAAGCAACTTACAACTGGAAACGTTCCACTGGCGTGCTCTTCAGCCATGGTCCTTCATCGTCATGTACTCATTCACAAAGAAGCCCCTCCCAGTGACCTCAAAGATCTTTAGTGAAGTTCGATTACATCTACACTTGTATCCTCTTCCCCAGTACACCGGATGTTTCCCTGAATTTCCAGACCTGATTTTTACCACATGAACTTCACAAATCGATTTTCTCAACCTGAAAAAGCATCAGGAATTCAGGTTCAGAATGATGAATTCAGGTTCAGGTTCTCGTGACACTCATTTAACTCCATAGCATATGCTTAAACATACTTAAAGCCATATTCAGTCTTGATCCATGTGTGTGTTACTGATAAGCTATACTACATCAATCATAATGTGATAATGAATAGGTAGACTTTATAGGTCTGCTACTTTAGCCAAAAGTCTCTAGATGTTTAAGGTAAGAATGTTAAACTGCATGTTTTTTTACTCTTCATCAACAGCTCCTCACTGACTTCTCCTGTGACTGTGGTGAAGGTTACAGAGGAATTTCACCAATATTTTAAAAAAACTTTTAGGCCAAAACCTTATCTAAACAGTACCAAAAAAAACCCAAAAAAAAAACAATGTCTAAATACATCATGCAGTGTATTCATAACCACTTCATGTAATAACTTTTTGTGAGGTTGCATATAGAGGCATTAAGCACATCAGATGCCTGGTTCCTATCACCACAGCTGTGAACAATTCAGACTCAGTAAGATTCTCCAGAATGGAGAATTTTACATCAAACTCCAAATGACTAAATTTACACATTTAGTCATAGCTGGGTTAGTGCAAGTCTGAGTGTGAGACGAAGAAAGCATGTGCTTGTTTAGACTATGATATGTGTAGTAACCACTGAGATTAATATATCAAAGGAAGCAGTGCATGAAGCAAAATGCTAAGGGCTGATATTTTGTCAGATCAACCCAGTCTGCCCAATGTTCTGTTTTAGCTTTAGGCAGACAGAGATGAATATGATTACCTTATATTTTCGTAGAAAATGTAATTATAATAAGTAAAAATACTTTAATACATAAAATACATATAATCGGACATAGCCCATATACTGACCACCCCAGTTGTACAGTGAAAAAGTTGCCTGAAGGTTGCTTTAGCGTTACATTTTTCAAATGTGTACATTGGCTCATCATGAATAAAATATGTTACATCAACATCATAATTAAGTACTATTTAACCTAGTTACTAGATGTAAGTTAAAACAATTAATTTGTGTGGAACATGTGCACATTTAAATAATGTAAATTCAATAAATTTTCCCAGTGTACTTCCCGACGGTAGATGGCGCTCTGTTTGAGAAAATACACCCAACCTCGGCGTTTCCTTCCGTTGATGTTGACTGACAATGGCGACTTCCATGAGGATTGCAAGTACGCGACTCTTGTTAAAGACAATACATTATTTCTCATCTAAGGTACAGGAATATTCTCTTTAGTAATCAGTCATTGTGAGTTTTCGTTTATTTATCTTAATAGAGCAGGGGCTCCTTTAATCCTGCTCTCTGTTTCTCAGGTTGCTGTTCAGCCGCGTGCCTGTACAATTCACCTCCAACCAGCATCATTATGGTTTGTCTTTATATCCACGTTTGTTGGTGCGCCGGTTGCTTTTTTGAACATTGAGATTGAACATTTAACCCATTAAACCCTCTTTTCACATATATTTTAAAGCTCTCAAATGGAGTAAAAACAAGTATCACATACCGTTCTTCATCTAAAGCAGATAAAGAGAGAGTTGGCGGTTTTACAAGGCAATAACTTTATAATCAAATCCTGGGAATACCCAACATTGCCTTTAAGAATACCAGCACATGAAAATGTGTCAGGAAGGCTAGAAAATGTTCTGTAGTTAAATACCTAAGAACGCCTTAAAAGGGAGTTCCGCCGATTTTACAGAACTTATATATAATTAAAACGTTAAGATTTAAACAAATCATTCAGAGTGGCATGTGCCCTGTTTCACGAAAATGGCTTAAACAATCGAGAATAAATTGACTCGATCCGGATCTGAGGATGAACTAAGGGTAGCGCATTTTCTTTTACAGGGAATTTCAGAAGACGTACTAAGCGAATGCACTACCATTGCCTAACTCAGGGGTGCACAACTCCGGACCTGGAGGGTGCTGGCAACCAACTCTTAGGGACCGGTGTTACGCACCCCTGCCCTAACTAAATAAATGTCTGGGACCAAAAGGTGGCGTACAGAGCCTCAAAATGAGAAGCAGAAAATGAAGCGGATGATCTCTGTATATGATAAGAATCTTGTCCACTTAAAAAGTGATGCACAGAATGTACTTGATTCAAATGTGTACAAAATGGTCACATTAATAACACATATTGCACATTAATACAAATATTGCATAATTGCCACAAAAAAAACGAAAGATAAAATGTCATTTTATACTGTGTACTATATTATTATTATCTATATATAATGCCTGTTTTATTTGGAATTGATGTACATTTTTGAATCAAATAAATTTAACACATTTTTTTCATCACAGAAAAATTTTTGAGCCCACGAGTAAACAAAAGTCGTTTTGAACAATTTTCTTAAGTTTGCTTACTTTTCTAAATTTTTCTTAAGACTCCACAGATAAAATTCAGAGTGTTGCAGTAAAGCTGAACTCTGGCTGATGGAGTGTCACCGATACTAATCTGAATGCGCAAAATATGTTTATTTTTATTTTTGTGTTAATTTTAGCTTTCAATTATGCACGCATGATTTTACCATTTTACCATGTGGATCATATCTGTTCATGCTAATCAGCTAATGCTAGCCAGCAAATTTGCAATATGGTTTCAGATATTTACATTTTACTTTTAGTAAAGATATGCGATGGAAAAAGCGCTTACCGTTGTTATATAAATTACTACAATTTGATAGTAGAAAATGCGACAACAATTCTGAGCTAGTTTTCTGCTGATAGCTGTGTGGGTGTGTCAAGAACACAAAAAGATTCACAGTAGCTCTGTTCCAAGCATAGATATATATACCTAGATGTCACATTGCCTGTTGTTCTCTATCTGAGGCGATACATCTGCGCGTCCGCCACGTTGGAGTGGTCAAGATCGGCTTGTGAACAAATTCACCTGTATTGAGAGATGATGATTTCTCAGGATTAAATCGGCCACAACTTCCTTATCACTCAGCTGATTTTCACCAAATTAGTTCTAATCCTTAGACACAGGTTAATCTAGGTTGCACGGACTGCTTTCGGTAGCTTTTATTTCTTTAATAACTGCTCATGCTAATTGGCTTTCCGGACCAGCAGAAAAGTATTCAGTCTGCACCTGACGTAAGTTTGGCGCGAGCTCTGGTAGAAACCCAATCAGCAAATCCATCAATGTGTGAATCACTTCTAATATTAATACACAGAAGGACTAAGCTAAAGTTGGCTTCCTATTCGCCAGCTTCTTGTTTGAGTTTTCCTGTCCTGCCTTAAATGGTGCAGAAGTCACTTTCTGGTGCCTGAAGCTGCACCATTTAAGATAAAATGGAAAAATTTGAACAAAATGCTGTCTGATACACCATTTAAGGTGAAACAGGAAAAGTAGAAGAAGAAGCTGGCTGATGCACCATTTAAGGTGGAACAGGAAAATTTGAACAAGAAACTGGCAAATAAGATAACTTCAGGTTTGTGTAAGAAGGTGCTAACATTAATCTGTTATGAATATCTACATGGATTAAGAAGTGCTATAACTTACCTAGCTACAAGGCTTTAACCATCATTGTAAATAAATAAATACTACATAAAGTTAAGATCCCCTGAATAGATTGTTAAAAGAAATAAGTGTAATATAAAACCAGAGAAAGAACAATCACTTCAACAGCTTCTTTTTGCATCACCAATCACACGGCCATATCTAAAATTACATATAAACATCACGCTAACAATACGCATCACACAAACATGAGTGTGGATTGCTGCATTCCCTCTGTTATATAATCCTATCCCGCTTTCTAAATGCAATATTCTTGAAATAGTATAATTTTGGACAGTATTTTTCTTAAACTGCTGCTCTGTAATGGTATTGAATGCAGTCCAGCAGCGATGTTGACTGCCCTAAAATGGCAGCGCCGTTGATGCGTCTGGCTGGACTCAACGCGGCATCTAGGTATGTATATCTATAGACCGCTGTAGTCATGTTGTCATTTTGTAGTCTGCGCCATGCTCTTATGCCCATATTAGGAACTTCGGGTCTAAGCTCCATTTCTCTATGGCCACAATGAATAGGGTTTTCGAAAAATTGCCTGTAGCGCACTGTGTTAAATATAAATGTTCAGAACCCAATACGTTTTTTTCTATGAACATTCTTCTCTCGAATACCACCAGATCCTCTGAATTACGAGGTCTTTAAAGTGTTAAAATATGAATATTGCTACATGTAAGCTAATGCTACTGTACACTGAATTCACATCATTAGACTGGCAATCTCCTTAAGCAGGTTTTGGCAGTGTACATTTCCATTTACAGACTGAGGGCAGATGAAAAGAAGTCAGAACAAAATCAGCAGGTTTCCCTGCAGTTCTCTGTTCTTCATCTGATGCTCACTGAAACATGATAGATCTTTCATTTTAGTTTGATTTGAAGAGATCTACAAACTGACCTGTACTCGGGGTCCCTCATAAACCGATTCGACTTTTCCCATTCCACCTTAAATGGTGCCGCAGTCATGTTCTGAGCTGCTGCGATATTTAAGGTGGAACGGGAAAATTTGAACAAGCAGCTGGCAAAAACGAAGCTGACTTGAGCTTCATGGAGGGTTGAAAGGCATGATATGAGGAGGTTTTTCTATTTCCGCTTAACAGCTGAGTAACAGTAACTTATTTTTGCTGTTTCACAGAACCAACAGGTCAGTATTTTGTCTCGTTTGCTAATGTTTGTGATAGATAGTCACAGCTGCTGCACCATTTAAGGTGAAACAGGAACATTCAAACAAAAAGCTGGCGGAAAAAGAAGCTTAATTCAGCCTTGTAGTTTTAACATGGGTAGTGTTTTTTTGATAAGGAGTTTAAGCCTATCAAAATATCCTACCTAGAGGTTTTATTTATGGGTATAGCCATAAATATGCGCTATGGTAGAAGATTTTGATAATTATAGATTATAATTATATTGATTATTATAGCTCTTTAATGACCTCGTAATTCAGAGGATCCAGTGGTAATTGGGAGAAAAATGCACACAGGACAAAACATATCGGGTTCTGAACATTTTTATTTAACACAGGGTGCGATAGAGGTGATTTTTCGAAAACCCTATTCATTTTGGCCATAGAAAAATTGTGTTTCTAATACGGGCATAACGAGGACTACAAAATTACGCACGACTACAGTGGTCTATGGTTCCAAAGCCTAGGCTGCAGCCGATGTAGTGCGGGTCCTCCAGGCTGTGTGGTGACGTCACCTGAGCGATGCGAAGCTTGTGAGGGAACTGGTGAGAGAAAATGGAGCCCTTTTCATTGTGTTTCTTGCTTTTTCATTTCTTTGCGGAAATAGAGATGTCCTTATGTGGTACGATAAACTGCATATATACAAATACTTGTAAATAAAATACAATATATAGACGAATGCTTTAATTAGTGATTTTATACTTTATAAGGTAACGAAGACGAATTCCAGTACGTGAACAACTTACATTTTAAAACAAGCTCTACTCCAACAGCTTTGTTTTCTGCCATTTTCGTGGTGCTGGTCTCCTTCGCATCATTTGTGCACAGAGAACTGTGGGTATCCGAAAGGATACATCCAGAGAATTAGGAAGTGGCCAGGCTCCTCATAAACCGGCTCTGATACACTATATTGCCAAAAGTATTCGCTCGTCTGCCTTCACGCGCATATGAACTTGAGTGACATCCCATTCTTAATCCATAGGGTTTAATATGATGTCGGCCCACCCTTTCCACAAGGTTTAGAAGTGTGTTTATGGGAATTTTTGACCATTCTTCCAGAAGCGCATTTGTGAGGTCAGACACTGATGTTGGATGAGAAGGCCTGGCTCGCAGTCTCTGCTCTAATTCATCCCAAAGGTGTTCTGTCGGGTTGAGGTCAGGATTCTGTGCAGGCCAGTCAAGTTGTTCCACACCAAACTCGCTCATCCATGTCTTTATGGACCTTGCTTTGTGTACTGGTGTGCAGTCATGTTGGAACAGGAAGGGGCCATCCCCAAACTGTTCCCACAAAGTTGGGAGCATGACATTGTAAAAATCTCTTGGTATGCTGAAGCATTAAGAGTTCATTTCACTGGAACTAAGGGGCCGAGCCCAGCTCCTGAAAAACAACCCCACACCATAATCCCCTCTCTACCAAACTTTACACTTGGCACAATGCAGTCAGACAAGTACCGTTCTCCTGGCAACTGCCAAACCCAGACTCGTCCATCGGGTTGCCAGAAGAAGCGTGATTCGTCACTCCAGAGAACATGTCTCCACTGCTCTAGAGTCCAGTGGCGGTGCTTTACACCATTGCATTCGACGCTTTGCATTGCGCTTGGTGATGTAAGGCTTGGATGCAGGTGCTCGGCCATGGAAACCCATTCCATGAAGCTCTCTACGCTGTTCTTGAGTTTATCTGAATGCCACATGAAGTTTGGAGGTCTGTAGTGATTGACTCTGCAGAAAGTTCTGCGCACTATGCGCCTCAGCATCCGCTGACCCCACTCTGTCATTTTACGTGGCCTACCAGTTCGTGGCTGAGTTGCTGTCATTCCCAATCAAAGCAGTCTGCATGCCTAGGTGCTTGGTTTTATACACCTGTGGCCATGGAAGTGATTGGAACACCTGAATTCAATGATTTGGATGGCTGAGTAAATACTTTTGGCAATACAGTGTACATCTGATGCGTCCTTGAAATCACTCCGAACATAGGCTGCATAGACCACTGTGGTCATGCGTCATTCTGTAGTCCTCTTTATGCCCATATTAGGAACTCCGGGTGTAAGCCCCATTTCTCTATGGCCAGAATGAATAGGGTTTTCAAAAAATCGCCTCTATCGCACCGTGTTAAATAAAAATGTTCAGAGCCTGATACGTTTTGTCCTGTGTACATTTTTCTCCCAAATACCACTGGATCCTCCGAATTACGAGGTCGTGAAGAGCTATAATACTAATATTGCTACATGCAAGCTAAAGCCACTGCGCATCAATTTGATGTCACTAATCTGCACGAAACTATGGCGGGCTGTGGCGGCACTCTGTTGAGTTGTGCTACCTTATCGAACTGTTTTACCGTAGCGCATGATTACAGGTATACTCGTAAATAAAACCTCTGGGTGGGATATTTTGATAGGCTAAAACTCCTTATCAAAAACACTACCCGTGTTAAAACTACGAGGCTGAATTAAGCTTCTTTTTTCACACCTTCTTGTTTGAACGTTCCCGTTCCACCTTAAATGGTGCAGCAGCTGTGACTAGCTATCACAAACATTAGCAAGCAAGACAAAATACTGACCTGGTAGTTCAGTGAAACAGCATGCCTTTCAACCCACAATGAAACTCGTCAGCTTCTTTTCCGCTGGATGCTTGTTCGAATTTTTTCGAAAAGCTGAACAAAAAGCTGGCGAATGTCCTGAGAAAATGTCCTCAGAAAAATGTCACCAGCATTAAAATAATAATTAGGATACTCTTATAGCCTAAATCAGTTTATCAGGGGTGAGCACTCATATTAAGCTGAGTCTGTACTGGATTAGCCTGAGTGCAGGTATGTTTGTAGATCTTTTCAAATCAAGCTAAAAGGAAAGACCTATCGTGTTTCAGTGAGCATCAGATGAAGAACAGAGGACTGCAGGGAAACCTCCTTCTTTTGTCGTGACTTCTTTTCATCTGTCCTCAGTCTGTAAATGGAAATGTACGCTGCCAAAACCCACTTAAGGAGACTTCCAGTCTAATGACGTGAATTCAGTGCACAGTAGCTTTAGCTCACATGTAGCAATATTCATATTTCAACTCTGTGACGACCTTGTAATTCAGAGCATCCAGTGGTATTCGAGAGAAGAATGTACGCAGGGAAAAAAGGTATGGGGTTCTGAACATTTTTATTTAACACAGGGTGCGATAGAGGCGATTTTATGAAAACCTTATTCATTCTGGCCATAGAGAAATGTAGCGTAGACCCAGAATTCCTAATATGGGCATAAGAAGTGAAGGATCCTTCACTTTGGAACGGCCTGCTTTAACGTAGCGGACGAAAAATGCAGCCTAGGCTTTGGAACGCAGCTACTAAGCGTCTCCCAGGCAGCGTAAAATCCGCTCCAGTGCCAGTGGTGAGTGACATCACCAGTGTGGTTCAGTCCTCCATGTTTGAACTTTACTCGCAGAAAAACAGACGACTTCCCTCTTCTCAGCTGGTTTCTAAATGATGAATAAAAAGTGCAAAATTAAGAACAAGCTGTCTGATGGTCATTTTAAAGATCTAATTACATTTTGGTCGAGAATTTGGCTTTAATTTTATAGCAGGTTTATAACGGAGCGCGTGGTATTTGGAGAATAGGCTGGGTGCCGCACGAGCCCCGCAACAAAATACAGTGAAATAAGCCACAAGGATCAGTGAAAATGGAAAGGGAAACCGACATTAAAAACATAAATTTACTCATTTATGACAAGTAGCAAACAAAATACTACTGAAACATTCTGTGCTGCAGATTCCGCTGGAGGTCTGTCAAACTGTCGCCCAATCAGAAGTCTGTCGAGGGTACACAGAAACCGTGATCCTTTAAGAATTCAATTTTGATGAGCAGAGTGGCTGATTTGACTGTTTATCCATGTGATTAAATTATACCTATGTAACTTTCTTGCTGCTTCGCTCAGCAGTTCAAAAGCTATATGTGTGAATGACCCCACATGCTAGTTGTAGTGGTCACGGCCCCGCTCTGCTCACGCCCAGCAGAGTGAAACAGAAAGGACTGCAGGAAGTAATATTACATGAATGTTTGTACTCTTTCAGGTTTAGAATGGTAAGGACAAGTTTTTTAAATGAAAATCCTTTGAGACTGTACAGGTGGAACCAGAAGGGAATATCCACAAAAATTCCAGAGCTGTTAGGATAGAGCCAACATTGGTCTCTGTTAAAATCTGTTGTGTTCTTGGTGGTTCCAGTCAAATTTTCGTTGATATTTGGTGAGCATTTTTACAAGTCACAAATTAATGTGCATACATGATACATTGAAAGACCAACATTGTTTGTATTCCTTAAACTGTGTGCAATGTCACAAAAACCCTTGAAGGTTTTTAAAATATTTTCAAACAGAGAATTAATTTTTTTTAATCGTCACTTTAAATCAGCTCTGCTACTCAATGCAATTATGAAGCTTAATAAATAAAGCTAAAGAAAAACAGATAATTCTGTAACCAGGGACACCGGATTCTCAGGAGGTTTTTCAAATGTTTAGTATCAACCAGTGTCAATTTATTATAAAAAAATTTTAGCCTGTAACTTGAAAATTAAAACAGCGCAAACATTTATTTTAAGGGCATAAAAGAGCACAAACGAATGAGACAGTTTTGTTGCGATTTAGCTGCTGATGAATGACGTCACACGTCAAACCATATTGCTTAATAACTTGAGAATTTGAGTGATTTGGACGTTGATGTGGGGGCTGAGTGACGTCACTCTGAAACTTTATGGCTTTATAACTTGAGAACTAAAATATCACAAACGTTTTTTTATTTAATAGCACGAACAAATGAGGCCATTTTTGTGCAATTTAGATATTGATGGGCTGAGTGACGTTACAGATAAGAAAATGTTTAACTTCTCAAAAACACTGCCAGCACAATGATTCCTATGGCATAAACCAGCACAAGCGAATAAAGGCTTCTTTTTCACAACAGTAGCACTTAGTTTGGCATCAGCTCTTAGCAATGGGTGTGACTGAAACACCTGAATTCCACAGTTAAAAGGGGTATCCACATAAGTTTGGTCATATAGTGTATGGGAAACAGGGTCTTGATGTTAAATGGTGCATTGTAGACAAACTTAAAGTAGTGGATTTACTCTCTCTAAAACAATCAACCAACCTGCACATGCCTTCTGAGTTTATGTTGCTGATAAAGGTAGAACAGTGGTCTGTCTGAAAAACATCTGATGAACTGTTTTGCCTTGCAATGCTTTGAACATTTTTTTTTTTAACTGTCTTAGGCCAAAAGCTTATCTAAGAACAACTGTTGTGAAGAAGTCTGACTCAGCATGTTCCTATAGAAAGTAGTATTTTACATCAAACCATTTAATTATGCAGAAACTTGTACAAATTGGTGAAATTTTCCTTTTATCTTTGTGGTTGCAGCAATGTTTGCGTGATACCTGCAGCCGTCCTTCACAAAGGACGTGCCTATGGCACGCAGTCTTCTTCCGTAAGTCTCTCTCTTACAAAAAATTCAAATTTGATCACATTTAAGTTGCCCTTAGAATTTTGACCTTTCATAATAAGTTGTTCATGAGTTTGCAGTTTTTCTTCTTTGGAGCAGGCTATTCGATTGGTCTGGCTTAATTTCTGCTATTTACTCCAGGTCACAGTCACAGAGGAACCTGACATTCTGTTCCAGAAACTGGCCGTGTTGGTTAAAAGCCATGATAAAACTGTACTGGACAGTTACAAGTTTTTTGCAACCCTAGCAGCAAAAGAACTTGGCTTAACCTTGAGTAAAGTGTGAGTCAGAAGTACATTTAAGAAAATGACAGTAGACCTCAGCATGACCATTGGTTGGCTAACATAATTGTGAACTGATATTTGTGTTTTTGGTTTGTTGTGGTAGATTTGAACCTCCAAAGAACATAGAGAGACTTACACTTCTGAAGTCAGTGCACATTTTTAAGAAACACAGGGTCCAATATGAAATGAGGACACACTACAGATGCATTGAGGTGAGATCTTTATATTATTATTATAGAGTTATATATTACATATTATATATATTTATTACAGTTACATTTACAAGTTATATAATATTATATAGTTATATAATATTATATGGTTACATTATATAGTACTAGGAAATGAAACAGCATTTGGATAACTGACTGTCTTGGTTGAGTTTAAAACTGCAGTTCTGAAGAATATTTTGCACTGCATTAAAGACTTTTTGGCTGTCAGATTTCCAGGATAACAGGTTCCACTTCACGGGTATACCTGGAGTACATTCAGCGCAACCTGCCAGAGGGAGTGGCTATGGAGGTCACTAAGGTAACAGAGTTTCAAGAAATTAAGTAGTTAAAATGTCTTTTCTTAAAAAGTGGGCATGCTCTAAGATACAGAACTGTAGTTATGGTGGATTGGAGATTTCTAGACGGGTATGCTGTAACAATAGTGTGTACTAAAGTTAGTTAGCTAATGGAGTAAGGCAGGACCCTGGTAATTAAATGTTTAAACTGCATATTCCCAAATTAACAGTTCTAAATTGTGCATGTCTCCCTCTAGACTGCTATAGAGAAAGTTCCAGATCATATCCAGATGCCTCTGTGGGGTGTCCAAAGCCAAGAAAAGCAAAGCAGTCAATAATTACCTTTTATTACCTTTTTTCCCATTAACTGTTACTACTGATAAGTAATGTAAATTAAATAAAAATGGATTCTCTAATGGATAACTTGACTTATATAATACACTGTGTATAAGTGTAAGCTGATGTGTTCCTATTGCATTGCCCATAATAAAGGGGATTACAGTGGGTTCTGATTATTTACTGTGGTTGAAGTTCATCAAATGTGCAGAAGACTGGGATTACAGACAATAAAACACACAGGTTTTAAAGACAATAAAACCTTTAATAAACCACAGTTTACACAATTTGCATTTGTACCATAATTGAACTGTGTCTTAAACACCATAAATACCTGACAGACTGCCCACAGTCAGAGAACTGTTTTATTCTGACAGATTAGCCTGGATGCAAAGAAAGAAATTTGGTCCAACAGATTTACAATTAAACATTTCTGCTTGTGTCTTTTTGCGTGTCCAAAGGTGTCAGAAAATGTTTTTCTACCCATTACAAAAAAAGGATGTACAGTGCCACATAAAACCATATGTGGCTGATGGTACCTGTCTATGCTTGATTCACATTTTCATCAACATGAAAATGTTTACAATTTGGTGGTCCAGGGCGACCTAACTGACCAGTTGCACACAAGTAAAATATATGCACGTAACCTGTGCGCCACACATCAGACAGCATCTTTTGTTTTTTTTTTGCTACAGCTATCCTACAATGTAGAAGCCAAATAAGAGGTGAAAGTACAGCATATTACCTTTATTGAGTTTTAGGTGTAATAAAGTTTTTGGCAGAAAGGCACCAGGAATAGAATATAAACTTCTATGAAGTTAATTTGCCCTAGTACTTAAAAACACCTAAAACACATTGTTCCCCACATGACAAGAAATTCACAAAGGTAAAAGGAATCTGGAATCACAAAGTACAAAGACATTTTTGTAAAATGTAAATGTAGGTCACTGTCCAAGCAGTTTTAAAAGGTGGCACTACTCAAAAGTTTGGGGTCACTTGTCATTATTAATAATAATTGTTATTCAGTAATAACTTATACAGTATGGACTGGTATGCTACAAAACTAGACACCAAAATCAATACTGTATTCACAGTTTACAATATTTTGGGAACAACAAGACATGGTTAGTATGGTAATGTTATTAAAAGCTATAATTTTCTGTTTATTGGAATTTGTAGTCACAAAAGTACTATGCATAGCTGTTTGATTAGCGAGATTTGGTTGCAGTTTTCAAATACAAGGTATTGTGGATGTCAGTTTCTTTATCAGTTTGTTCTCAATGATTTCTCAGTTACGAAATCACAGCTCCATGTATCATCAAAAATGTCTTCATTTTTACAAACTAGAAACATTTTATACATGTATGTTCAAAGAAATTGGTTTTAAATGAATGAAATCAGTGACCCCAGTTTTTTGAGCGTAGTGTAAGTACATGTAGCATTTAGAAATACTAAGAAATTACATTTGAAGGTATCTTATTTATTGACCGGTAATATTGGTCTGTGACAACGGAAAGCATGTAAAGGGTTCAAATTGTTTCTTTTTTGTCACTTGCTGCATGAAAAATTTTAAAGATGATAAAATTACTGTTTTGACTAGAGCACATTAATGGAATACTACATTGTTTTATGATCTAATCTCTACCTGCTGTTTCTATAGTTTACCACTGATACTCACAGGGTTCTGCTCTAAATGTGTTTTGAGTCAGTGAGCTTTCTGTTCTAAATACAAGGAACTTACTGCCTGAAGAAATAACTGTACACAAACAATGCGACAGACAGATTAGGTTGAAAATGCTGCTGTATTCCTTCAACTTGATACTGTCATGACACAATGGATGGAATTTATATACACTGTATCCAGGCCCTAAAACTAGAGGAAGGTTCTAGGTGTAAACAAAGGCTTTTATGTAATTTATGCTATGTATGTTTCCCTCTTTATTTTGCTTCTCTCTCTGCATTCTATTTAAGTCTCTTCTGCATTCCCCTCAACAGTTGATTCAAAATGATTAATGTATTTGGAACAAGAACCCTGATGAACACATACACCTCACCTTGTACATGTACACTCCCTCACTCCAACTCGCATGATAATACACAAATGGGAGGGCAGACAGTATAGCACATAACAAAAAAGAAAACAACAACAAAATGGTTATGTTGTTTTACAGTTAAACACTATGGGGCTACAACTCAGTCATTAGTCTAGCAGCAGTTCAGTCTCCATTTAACAAGGGTTTGGCTAAACTGGCAACTTAAGGGGTTTAAATTAAATCTGATTGCTCTGTCAAAAAACTCTACCTGATCCACCACTAAGCTTATGCTAAACCGGATGTATTATGAAATTACATAATGATCAGCCCAACTAACACAAAACTGCATAAACTTATTTTGCTATCTGTTTTTTAATACAATGATCAAAGCATTAAAACAGAGCAATGTAAATTACACGAAGTCTGTGTATGTTACTGGGCCTAACTGTCATCAGCGCTGTGTTTCATTCCTATTATGCCACTCATAATTTCAAACGCATCAACTAAAATCGTGTAGTCACTCACTCAAAAAAGTATTCATTGGTGATTTTAAATGATTAGCTGACATGAAACTGAACAATACTGAGTGAATGGAATGACTCGACTCGATGAAGGAGTTTGCAGTGGAGTATTGTTCAGTAAGCTAGACTACCCCCTCTGCATCGCTACCTGTCCAAAAGGCCCACTTCACTACTTCATTCATGGAGCTACGACTCAACAGAAGCCACAAGTGCTGCTTCACTTAACAGGCTTTCTGCGTCTTAGAGATGCTTTGCTTGCCTCATTATCGGACTATGAACCAGCCCCACAGAGGGCAAACAACATCAGTATCGCTTGTGCAGTGCAATGTGGCATTTGACTAGGACTGCAGGTGCTCTTTAAACTGCAGCTTTCATGGCCGCAGCAATGGCATTCAAGAGATCCCTTGTGACTCGTTTAGGTTTAAACTCGTGTTAAACTCTAATCCACAGCTAAGGTAATGACAGTGCAATTACCATTGTGCTTTTAACCTGGGAAAACATATTGTGAATAGCTCCCTGATCAAATCTGGCAATACCTCTACTGGGAACCATCTTCTGGTCATTTTTAAATCAGACCAGACCATGTTCTGAAAAATTATGGGGATGGTTCAGTTGATATGTAAATGCACAAAATACACAGCTTAAAGGCTAAAAAAAGAAATCAATGCAATGGCAGGGTAGAGGAGAAAAATCTGAGATTTTACCGTTACTGTAATAAATTACATCACAATGCGTTTTCCTGGGTATCATCAGTACTTCAAGAACAAGGAACTGTATGTATTTTAAAATACAGATTTAGACCAATTTAAAACACAGACTTAGACAAATTATACAAAGCCTATAAACAACAATAAGTAGCAGCATAATAATTAGATTAATGATTTTTGCAACTAGCCTGCAGGTGCATCTTTATTTACAAACCTCAGGAAACCTAAATGTTGTGATACAGTTGTATGCAAATGTTTGGAAAAATTACATGTTTCTAAGAGGAAATAAGTACCCATCCTCTGCCCATTTCAATGCACAATTACTGTTTATTTGCTGAATTTAATACAATGGAAAGAAAAAAAAATGGCCTGTGCAAAAATCATAGTACATTTTATATATTTTTGTTTTTGTCCAATATGTTAAGCTCTGTAGATAAATACACATAGTGGACTAAAATTTGCAAAACAAAGTGCCATATTTAAGTGTGTTCTCTGTAGAGGATGTTGCACCTTATATTTACTGTAATTTGGCCCACTGTATATACACTTATCATGTAGCATACATGTACTTTTTTGCCACATCACCCACACATACATTGATGATAAACAAGTAAATCTCTAGTAGATAAATACCAAACTGAATCATTGGAGTAAAACAAGGTAAGAGGTCTTTTTTAATTCAATATTGTGCCAGGGTGCTATGTCCTGTGGATCACTGTAAATTTATTATTAAGTTTTTTCTGACTGCAAATATAGTCACTATTAATGATACTTGCTATGGTTCAAGCATCCTAATATTCTTACCTTATCAGGTATGCAGGCTTGTGAAGCAACAGGTTTGTGTGCATCACTGTGTTTATTCATCTGCAAACAGAGACTCTTCGGTAGGGAAGGTGGGGAAAGGCAGGGTTTTAGGAAGAGGAGGTTGTCTGGACAACATAAGACTCACCTTGCTTATAGGGGGGTGCAGGGGCAGGGTGCGAAACACTGCACATCACTGGGGCGGGGGGGGGAGAGAGAAGAAGGGGAGCATCCTGCTTCCAAGTCCAGCTGCCTTCCGAAAAGGGTGACTATGTCCCCCTTCAGGAGACAACAAGAATCAGTCCAGCATCAAAGCACAGGCTAGCAGCAGAAGCAGCAAAGGCAGCAGAAGAGAAGCACTCAAGCCTCAAAGGAGGAGTTAGTGGGAGCAAACATCAGAGCTAAGAAAAGGTGCAACACCTGTGGCAGACAGATTCCAAGCTAGTCGCTGTTTATATGCTTTTGTACATGCCGTTTTACAAATGTGGATACAGCAATGTTGAGCTTTATCTAGTCTTCAGGCATGTTTATATATAGCTTTGGACATTATCTGCAAGAATGAACTTACCAGTAGTTAGTCATTCAAAGATTCCATCACTAGAAGAGCACGCAATTGTTTTCCACACTTGATCATGTCTGTTTCACTGTTGGGAATGCGCTGGATCACTTTATAATTGTTTCATCTCAAAAGGTAATTTAATCTCACAAGTTGTTAATAGACACATATCCATGACTGTTAAATGTGATGTTTCCATTCATACACTAATAAATGTTTAATGCTAGGTTACAGCCAGTTTATAACAAATAACTGCTCATATAAAAAGTCTGTTACAATTATTTGTGCCAACAAATGGATTAACTGGACCATTTTCTTGCATTAACAGGTTTTTTTTTTAACTGTTCTTATTTTATACAAAAAAAGTATTCTCATGTATTCTTATTTGTGCCTCAGCAGAAGCAGGTGGTGGTTGCTGTATAAAGAGTGAATAGTTGCCTGAACTATTGTCATTCCTTATGAACTGTTCATCAAAAGATATTGCTCCTTTGCGTACATTGTCATGCACGTTAGCAGGATCGACTGCAATTAGACACTTATCAAAAGAGAAGACAATGCCTCAGCCCCACAACAGACAGCAAAGAAGTTATTTTCCAAGAACTTAAAAACAAGAAAAAATTTTCATTGCCCCCATTTTCTACACACTGCTCCTCTGATTTAAAAAAATAAAAAGAGCGAGAGAGAAAGACTATAATGTGCATTAGGGACTCCTGGTTCCAGCAGTGGGCCAACAGTTTCAGCTTTCAGAAGAGTGTATATGTGGTACATCTGATGTCTTCTCAGTGCTTTAATATCAACTCTATAACAATAACTTGCATTCTTTAATACTTAAATTTACCAGACCATTCTTAGTTCTACATTATGAGACACTTGGAGATATCACGTTAGCACAGTAATACAAAATGTATATCTACATTAAAATGACTGATAGTGATCTTTTAAGTTATCTGTATGACAAGAAATGTGCAGTTTCACATAAAATATACATAACTGAATGTTACTGCAATTATCAAATATTGTGCTATTCTTATGTAAACAGAATACATACCTATGTAAATACATTGTCCATTTTACTTCAGAGCACTATACCTCAGTCATTAGATTTATTAAATGGACATTCATGTACTGTGCAATAAACAGTAAAAAGAAGAAGTCAGTTTATTTTAACTTTATTTTGACTATGTCAAAAAACTGATACTTTTAACCAACTTACATTGACAAATCCACATAACTCAATCACAGTAA